CTGATTTGACTGAATGCAGTCCTAATTCACTGCTAATTAGAAGAGAGAATATCAAAAACGTCTAGGCGAAGCAGGGGAATCTCTGAGCATAATATAGAAAATAAGCAGAATGAACCAAAACAACATTTAACCATGGCTTCAATGGCGAGAAAATGAAATCTAGTTTTCCTTATCTCTGCTAAACCTCTGTTCGAACTTCAAGGTTGACTCTTAGACCTAGCATTGCAAACTAAAAAGGTCACCGTATGTAAAAGAAATTGGAAGGAAGAAACAAGTAGACGAACAGATACTTCTAAAAATTTTAAGGGACGCTAGCGTTAGGACGCTAAGAAGATTTATTCCTTGCGGCTCTTAAGAATACACGTTTTTGAGTCTACTGTCAAACCAGTAAGATTCGAATATCAAAGACCGGATAAGTGCCGAGTGCTACAGCCATAGTCCATCTATCCTTACAAGCTGCAGACATTGCTATAAAGGAATGCGAGTATTGCCAAATGAGGTACGAATACTTTGCTCGTCCATGTAGAAACTGGTACGCAATGCGCAGAGCTATAGACCCATAATGAAGCGAATGAACGCATTGCAATAATAAGCATGTGTGAAAAGTCTCAACTCACTTTTTCTGCAGAAGGTTTGCTACTTCCTGGCGAAGCTCCGTCAGCTGAAGGTGCTTCTGTTCAGTTAAACCGGAAAAAAAAACCCGGTCTCGGAGTCTGTCTGCATGCGGAACAGTTGCGAATTGTTCACAAGGCCAACCAGACACCGTTAACGATCGACGGACATTGGCGGAGGCAGTTAAAGGAGAGGGATGAGAGTTAGAAAGTTTTGTCGTCAAGGCATTAGAAGGAAATGCTTGTCGTCGAAGTGCCTCAGTTTGAGTCTTCGGCTGGGGCGAAGATCTGCATTCGAGCCTATCTTTCTGTCCTACTGAAGCTGAAAAAGCTCCTGTTGTTAGGAGGGAACAGGCACATCCGGGGCGCATCGAAGTATGAGCGCGAATTAGAGGTTCCTGAGCGCTAGCTGACTGATTGTTTAAAGTACCTAGAGTTGCCCACATGGCTCTTCGGTTAGCCAGGCAGTGGTTATAGTCTCCGGGCAAAGCAATAGTGTGTAGGTGGTGTGTGTGATTGTGCACGCATGTGAAGGGCATGGAGAAACAGGAAAAAAAGGGAGCAACTCCTTCGCCTCTCTAGATGGTTAAAATAAAAAGACAAAAGGGCGAGACATTTAGGCAGGTTAATCCAATAAAAATGTTTAGACGGATAAATTAAATATTAATAGATAGATGCAGAGGTGGTGTGACTAGTTAACGATGAATCTGGTCTGTATGCTCAAGAAAATTGGATAAGTGACGCCTAGGGTACCGATACTAAACATGAGCATATGGTGTAATAGCCACTTTTGATGGGGCTCAGAATAATAAGTTTTATAGCACCTGCTTCGTCAAGTATAATGGGGAAGAAACAAAGAAGTTATATGTTAAAGGGACTTTAGTGACTAGAGAATTAACAAAGCGATGTAATATACATGGAAAGAGAATAAGAAAAGTATACAACCGATTTATCAAGTAGGCGATGAAAATACCCTTCTTAACTGTCCGAGGAGCAAGAAACATTTAAAAAATTACAGAAAAGATGTCAAGCAGACCGTTATAGATGACTTGAACACAAGAACTACACTAGAATAGCCAGTTTCAAAAATAATAATGTAAGCGGTTATTTTTCCATATACCAAAATGAAATATTTATTTTGAGCAATTTCAATCGGCTTCTTATAATTATGACATGAAAGAGTGACGTCTGTCCAATGACCCATTGACATCCATGCATAGTAGTAACATGTCGAAAATATAGGCTGCACTATCCAGGTTCGAATTCCGTTAAAAGAGTAATAATGAGACACAGGGGATGTAGAAACTGTAGTCAACTCTGGATGAGAATACCTTTTGGGAGGTAAGGATAAGCGAAAGTCAATGGCATCGCGAGGCTTAAACTTAATTTCGAAAAACTCTGACTATCAGTCCCTTGTCACCTTACGAATGCAGTTAATATATAACCTAGTAAAAACATAATAAAGTGGAAAAGGGTAATTGCATCAAGTGAGAAACCGAAGAAAAATAACGGTATCCAGGCTACCTGATCAATCAGAGAAGGTACAGGAAGAGTGGTGGAGAGCGGTCTGGTTGTGGATCTTGAAGAAGGCATAGTTGGAGGCAAGCTGAAAGAGGGAGCAGTTTGCGAGGAAAGGCTGGAACAGTAACAAGAAGAGGATGAGGCGTCAAAAGAAAGACAAGAAGGGCATCCCACAGCTGCCGAGGTAGTGGCTGTAGTCATTGGAATGGCAGTCGTGACGAGGGAACTGGGAGATTCGACTGGAGAGCAAGTGTCGGAAGCATGGGACAATTTTATAGAGGACTGGGCGGAAAATACTCGATCGGATCCTGGTTCTTCGACCCAGTCCGTAGGAACAGTAGGTTGAATCGGCAAAGCTGATAACTGCTGATAATTAAGATAATTTAATAGAGAAATGGAAAATAAGTATTAGATGGTAAATAAATGAAAAAAATAAATTTAATTAATTAATTAATTAAAAGGAGATAGTGACTAACTTGCTGATCGGTATGCAGAATACAGCGTGGAGGAATGTGAAGCGCCGGGTATAGGCATGCTTTAGAAACCAAGAGAGTACAGCAACAATGCGGATGAGGCGGGATTTGGTTTTTGAAGGAGTGATCAACCGTCTGTGCCGCCGGAGTGTTTGATGGATGCGAATAACTAGGACACGAAGGAGAGTTGGCGAGAAGAGCGTGGTGCATGCGGCAGAGATGTGGCGCATGATGATGGGTGTGGAAGTTCGGATGGGGCGATTGCACATGCGATTGACGACTGGTTGGATGAAGGTGACGCAAGCAAGAATTCAGTTTGAGAACACGAGAGGCAGGACGAGCACCATTGGATTGCCAAGCAACAGACTTGCAGGGTGCAATATGGCCGCTCGCGGTCTCATAAGTCTCCGACAACTGCGTGTATGGGCTGGAGGTAGTCCCTGTGGCAACTGCGCCACTGTCAGCAGGTTCGGGTGTCTCATAGTCGGCCACACCACCCGTATCATCCATCTCTGCCAGAGGCCCAGAGCGCGGCGGTGACAAACAAGAGGATGCATGGCTGGGCAGAGTAGCAGAACCACGATCGGCAGGCCGGATGCGCAGTTGGCCTGAAGAGGAGGGTGTCAGACAAGACGAGCTCCGCCTGGCAGAGACTGACATAGGACCGGCTATAAAAGCAGGTTTTAGTGCACTGACTGTCGGTCCTCCACACAGCGGACATTGATCAAAACGAAATTGAGAGTCCTTTGGCTCATAACAACAGGGGAGAAGCTGTACATCTGGAAGCAAAGACAATGTAATAGTGAAGAAAAGAAGTAATTCTGAAAATGCGTGGAGCCTAATGTAAAAATTATTAGCAGGGATAATGTGTAGTGGATGTTGTGATGTATAGCAAATTCTTTAAGCTGCAATTTTCAGCGATCATTTTTATTGATAAATTATTCCTGTTTAATCAAGACTTTATCGACAAGATATGGGAGAGAATGCTTACGCACTATGGAGTTGTAATGAATAGTAGCCAATTCGAGTATAAATTGTAAAATAAGTAAATAGCTCAAGTTCCACTAAGGGCATATCATATCCGAGGATAGTATCACTGCCAGCTGGAACCATCCATTCTTTATATGAAAGGCATTGCTATTCTATTTACTCATACTCGGACTTAGATATATATTATACTCGAAAAAGGATACAACACAACATGGATTAAGGCTAAGATCAAGGGTCACGAATTCTAAAGAATAAAATAACAGTAGTAGTAGTGGTAGTAGTAGTAGTAAAATGAATTTTACTTAGTCTTAAACGTAGATGCGAAGACAAAGATATGGCCTCTATTTTGGTCGCAGTCTTTTTTAGATTTATAGTAGTTGTTTGACCTTGCTTTCGAAACTTGGTCATATTGACAGGAAGACCTAGAGACCTACAACACATATATCTAGAGAAACGCATCCATAGTATACATAATAATCTCAAGAGTCGGAGCATAGACTTGGTACATTCCAGGACGTTTATCTGATATCGTGGTCGGCATCGTCAGTGAGTCTTGCCATTCTCGTCAGAGACAAGTGAAGTCTGTCAAAATGGTTAGCTATCATTCCTCGTTCTGTCATGGTCCCTCTATCCATTTCCTACCCTCTTGTCTCGCTCTCTTCTTGTGACATGTTGATATTCCACTAGAGGTGTGCCATTTTGTCGAATTTACAGTGACGTCATCACACCTGATCTTTGCCTTGCTCCTCTCCCTTTCGAGTGGCTGATCAGATTCGAGGCTCCTGTCCGTATCTGCCTCATGAGCCCTTTGGTCCGCTTCTAATCTTTCTGGTTGACCGATTTCACACGGCTCTAGCCCCAGTCTACTTCTTAGTCCAGGCGCTATTTCTCGAGCCTTCACGTACAAAGTCGCCTCAGCTGCAGAGTGCCTAGGCTCTGATTTCCATGTATGCGGATATTAGGCATCGTCTTCACGCATCAGCTCCTTGATTAAACCCGTGTATCCTGAGCAAACTGTGAACATCTCGAGTGGATTATTATTCAATTTGGTCACAATGCCCAATTTCTGTGACCAAATCCCTCCCTTTAGTTATGGGAAATGGCAAGCCCCCAAAGTTGAAGTTGTTTATTCGAACTAACTACACTTACTGATTGATTTCCGGAAATTCCTCACCCTCTTATTCCTTGCGATAACTTTACTCCTGGTTAAGGATAGATCCTTGATCCATGTGTCTTCTTTTTTGCTTGTCTTGTTGCATCCGGGTTTTCTCCGAGCTTGATTAGGCAATAGGCAAAGTTATCGCTAACTGACTTCTTCCAATCTCCTGTTCATTAAATATTTTTCCACAAGGATGTCACTGACATTCCTAATCTTCCGTTTATGTGTACTTCCACCGTATGAGGCCCTTCTTTCTGTTGCCTTCCAATTGATACCGTGTCCAGTCTCTGAGCTGCGTTCTGCTATATCTTGTCCTTCAGTATCCATTTTCCTGCAGATCATTTGATGTTCATTGGTTCGTATGCTAATTTTTTTCCGAGATCACCAATATATTTACGTTCGCAGGCGCCGCATGGCATGCAGTAAACTCCCGATAAATATAATTTGTCTACCCTTTCATGATGCGTGGGTAGACTAGTGAAAAGTGTTGTTTCTTCCTTCGTGGTTCAATTTTCTTAATATTGGCCGTAGTTTTTGAGCGTATGAGATGATGCCTAATATCCAAAAGCATGAGAATCAGAACCTTAGGCTCTGCAGAGAAGGCGAGTTTGTATGTAATACTGAGGGCTTGAGAAATAGCGCCTGGACTAAGAAGTAAACTGGGGCTAGAGCTGAGTCAGATCGGTCAACCAGAAAGATTAGAAACGGACCTAATGGCTGAGACAGATCCGGACAGGATGCTCGAATAGGATCAGCCACTCGAAAGAGAGAGGAGCAAGGCAAACATTAAGTGTGATGACGACACGGTAAATTCTACAAACGGGCACACATCTTGTAGAATATAAGAAATTCACAAGCTGTGATAGGACGAGGGCGAGACAAGAGGGTAGGAAATAGATAGAGAGACCAGGACAGAATAAGGAGGGATAGCACTACCTACTCAAACCCCTTCATCACGTTAAATGAAATAGAATGAATACATCTCATATTTATGATATGCTGGTAATCTCGAAAACCTAATTATAAAAGAAAATTATGCCAATTATAGAAATATGTTAGCCTCGTTGTCGCAACTTGGTTTTGTTGGCAGGGCGACTTAGTAGAACGCACTCTGTCCAAAGTCGTCTGCCAAAT